AATATCTACCGGCAATTCCGTTTTCTTTATTGTTACAGCTTAAAAACGCTTTTGCCTTGAAGAGCATAGCTTTCTGCTTTTGAAAATGCTATTATCTCCTCTTTGGTGATTCATTCCAGTCAAGTTTTACATGACAGTGCTCACACTCTAGAAGCTAAAGAATTTCATACCTTGGTTCTTTGGTGAATTTCAAACTTATCCGCTGATTTTGAAGTCTGAAATGGAAGCTGTTTGGCGAGCTTCAACTGCGGATGCAGATTCTTTCCGGTCCAACCCAAAAAAGGAGCAATTTTGGAACGCGTCCAGACTGTTAGCTAGGAACCGGTTCAAACCACCAATGCCATTGCTAAGAATTAGATCGTCAGTATGCAATCTACAGGAGGGTATATCCAAATCTAGCGGTCCTAACGAGTCAGGCTGCAATATGGAAAAGATAGAATCAGAACATATGTCCCAATATCTTCACAGAAACATTTAACATGCACGTCTTAGCATAGTTATTGTGTATCGCACAGCAACTGCACAAGTGAAGAAAATAAGATACGCCGAAAGTTATGAAAAGTAAGCTTGCTCCTTAGCAGCGAGAGGCTTCTCATTGTATCAATAATTTTCAAGCAATTGAGAAATATAACCTGAAAAGAAAAGATAAAATGGTATTTCAAGGAAAAGATTACCCAATATATGTCAGTTAGTCCGCTAAAATCCTTTGCAGAATGCTCTAAGGTCTCCACTGTGTCTCCATACGTAGGATCATCATTACTTGATTTCTTGTCTTCAGTCAACTCCTAAAAGAAATTAGAAACAATAGTGTTACCAATAACTTCGAGACAGAGCTATTATTTCAAGTAATCTTTGAGATATATCTCAATATACAGATATATAGATGTCAGACCTCAACTGCTTCATGGGATATTGAAGAACTTGTCCTAATAATTTGTTTACAGGTCTCTAAAGAAGCATTCCTGGACTCATTGTGACCTATTTCATAGGAAGCACCACTTTTTTGAAATGCAAAGGCATCACATGTTTCTTCAGCATCCCAAATGG